ATTTTTGGCCAACCCTTTCCTATGAGTCGAGCCCTGCAGTTTGTTCCCTCACATACTTCATCTTGCTCTTTAGCTCCATTTTAAGAACGAGGAAAATGAGGTTAAACAGAAGAGACCAAAACTATTTCTCCCCAGGGGAAGAATCTTCACCAAGAACCAAGAGTACAAATATATATGAAGTGCTTACAATGGTCAGGCATTTTTCTTGGTTGCAGTGAACAAGACAGGTCTGTCTCAAAGAGCTTTTGGTGTAACTATCCAGAAACTGTTTGGAGGTGGGGGTGGGACAATGGCTCACATAGAATAAAATTCAGTGGCACCACTTTGGGCCATGGAAGGTTTAAGAGGCCTATTAGACATCCAAGGTGTGAAGTGTAGGAGGTGGAGAGACACGTCTGGAATGTAAGGCAGACATTCGGGCTAGAAATAAAATACTGTGAATCATCAGCCTATAGGTAATATTTCAAAGCTATGGTGGTGCCGGATGAGATTTCCTAAGAAAAAAGTATAGGTGGAGAAGACTGTTCTCTACCATTTAGACATCTGACAGAAGAGAAATATTCAAGAACCGCAGAAGTGACCAATGAGGCAAGTAGAAAATCACATGAGTCCAGGGTCATGGAAGCCTAGAGAAAAATGTTTCAAGAAGGGAGTCATCACCAGTGAAGTTATTGTAAATTCACATAAAATTTAGAGAACTGACCACCAATTTTGGCACAAAAGTGGTCTTTCATTGAGCAGATGCGTATTGAGTACCAACTCCACACTAGGTACTGTTCAAGGGACTAGGGCTATACCTGTTTACAAAACAGGGGGAAATCCTTGTCCTCATGGGATCCACAATCTATGAGGGGGAAAAAGATAAATTATAGTATGCTAGCTGATTCTGAGTGCTTAGTCGCTCAGCCATGTTCGACTCTTTGTGACCCCATAGACTGTAGCCCACCAGGCTCCTATGTACATGGGATTCCCCAGGCAAGAATAGTGGAGTGGGTGGCCATGGCCTCCTCCAGGGGCTCTTCCAAACCCAAGGATTGAACCCACGTCTCCCACATTGTAGGCGGATTCTTTATCATCTGAGCCACCATGGAAGCCCAAGCATACTAGAGTGAACAGTCTATCCTTTCCCCAGGGGAACTTCCCCACCTAGGAGTTGAATTGGGGTCTCCTGCATTGCTGGCAGATTCTTTACCAGCTTGAGCTACCAGGGAAGCCCAAGCAGGACTTTTTCAGTCTCAAAGAGTTGGGCACAACTTGGTGACTGACCAACAACAAAGAATAGCATGAGAGAGAGCTCCAGGTGTGGAGGGCAGGGTTGCAATTTAAAATAAGAGTAATCAGGCTCTAGACCCGGAGCCTGTCTATTATTCCATTAATAATGAAGCTTTCCTTTGCTTCTGAACCCGACTCGGTCTTGTTCAACTGATATGAAGGACACTGGGACGAAGGACCTTGCTGAAGCCCTACTTGAAGATTCAGCCTTAGCAAATGGAAACTTCCCTATAGTGTTGGGAGAACTAGCCCTCCTAGTCGTCCATTGCTGGCAGCTGGAGGAGGAGCACATACAAGGAAGACCTTCAGAAGACAGCCGGGAAGCTGCACATGGGAAGGGCACCCCAGGAAGAGGGTGCAGCAAGGACAGCGACTCTGAGGCTAGAGCCGGCAGGGATTAAAGAAAGAAGGAAAATTAAAGTAAAATAACAGGGCAGAGGTGACTTGTGAAACCTTGAATGAGCAGAGGGAATGAGTGATGCAGGTGGCTGGAGAAAGAGCATTTATAGAGGGAAGAACACATGTCAAAATGCCTGGCAACTTTAAAGATTCAGAAGGAGGCCAGAGTGGCTGCCACAGAGTAAGTGAGGAAGAGGGTGACTGAATGGGGAAAGAGGGGAGTGGAGCCTTCATTGTGAGACAGGAAGCCCAGGTTTTGGGCTGAGGAGCACCTCACAGGTGTTCCCATATTGAACAGATGCTGTGGGGGCCAGGGAAGAGGTGGGGAGCAAAATCCAAAGTAAAGAAATTAGTTAGGAGGCAACTGCTATAATTTAGCAGCGGGTAAAGAATCTGCCTGCAATGCAGGAGACACAGGAGACACAGGTTTGATCCCTGTGTGGGGAAGATCCTCTGGAGAAGGAAATGGCAATGCACTCCAGTATTCTTGCCTGGAAGATTCCGTGGACAGAGGAGCCTGGTGGGTTACAGTCCATAGGATCGCAAAGAGTTGGATGTAACTGAGAGACTATGCACACAGGTGAGGAATGCTGGGGCTTGGGACAGGAGGTATTAATAACTGAATGCAGTGAGAAGTGTAGAGACTGTTCTCAAAGTAAAGTTAATGGGATTTGCTGATTAGCTGGATGTAAGCCTGCAAATAAACTCAAGCAGGATGCCGCAATTATCTGCCTGAGTTACTGGAAGGATGGGGTTACCATTGAGTTGGGGAGACACCACGAAATTCTGGTTTGGAAACTGGGAGATCTACAGCTTAAAGGAAGAGGCTGGCCTTAGCGGAGGCACAGACAGTTCATCTCAAGTACATGCGGGCAGGGGGAAGCAAGTTCTCTCCTGGTAGTTTCTAATTTTTTTTCTTCCGGTGAAATAGCAATCAAGGTCATCAACCAAGAATGAATATGCAGCGAGGTGTTTCAAGTGTGAAAAGAGAAACAGTTGTCAAGGGGAGGAGGGGAATGAAGAGACAGACCACCATAATAAATTAAAATTCATGGGCAGCATTAACGGCCCACTTGATCTCGGCACGGTTGTGTTTTCCTTCAGCCACATTAAGGCTCCCAAGTATGGGTCTGGAGTCAGAAGAGAGCTGGAATGAACTGTGATTGATGGAGTGCAGAGTACAATGGAACAGGAGGAGGGGAAGGACATTGAGTGTTCAAGGGATTGACTCCCTGCAATGCTGGGGTAAGAGCGGAAGTGAAAACAGTCACTGAGAGCTTCAGGGGAAATTGCGTCCCCAGGGGAGAGACAGGTTTCACCTAGAGCAAAACGAAGCTTTCGAAAGGATGAGTATTGGGGGTATTTCTTACTCTTGGTAAATAAAGCTGTTTCAGTGGCTGTGGTGCAACTGGATTGGAGTGGGTGGGTCGAGGAGCAGGTGAGAAAATAGAAGCTGACAGAAGAGTGGATAGCGCTTCCGAAAAGCTCTGCGGGAAAGGTGCTGTGCATGCGCTTAGTTGCTCAGTCATGTCCCAACTCTTCGTGACCGACCCCATGGACTGCAGCCCACCAGGCTCCTTTGTCCTTAAGGATTCTCCAGGCAAGAATACTGCAGTAGGTAGCCTATCCCTTCTCCAGGGGATCTTCCTGACCCAGGAATCGAACTGGAGTCTCATGCATTGCAGGCGGATTCTTTACCAGCTGAGTTACCAGTGAGGTGCTGGAGTTAGCCAAATGACTAAAGGCAAAGTTTGTGTGTTTGAGATGAAAGGTATCACAGCACACTTTTATACCAATGAAAGAGGGCAAATATTGACAATGCAAGAAAGAAAGGCAGTAAAATGTGGGGATCTTTGCAGCGGCAAAGCCCTGAGGTCAGCAGGTGCTGGGATCCAAGGCATAAGTGGAAGAACTGACCTTAGAATTCAGTAGAAGGAAAGTGGCAAAGAAGGCTGGAGGCAGGAAGGCTGGCAGAAAAGTGAAATGGGGAGATTAGTTAGTTCTGTGAATCTATTTATCTCTTAAAAGTCTGACGAGGTTATCATCTGAGAGGTGATGTGGGAAGGCTGGGTATTTGATGTCAGATAAGTAACACTGTGAGAAATAGCGACCAGAGAAAGTGAACCTATTACGGATTTACAGGGCATCCCAGGTGGTTTAGCGATAAAAGTATCTGCCTGCAATGCAGGAGACAGGAGACAAGGGTTCGATCCCTGGAGTAGGAAATGGCAACCCACTCCAGTAGTCTTGCCTGGAAAATCTCACAGAAAGAGGAGTCTGACAGGCTACCGTCCATAGGGTCGCAAAAGAGTCGAATACAACTCAGAAACTAAATTACCACCAGGGAATTAGTCTGTTTGGCAGCAACAAGTGCCCACCTGAGAGGTGTGGTCAAAAATCTGAAGTCAGTCGACACACTTGTGCATTTCTTCCCACCAGGCCTTGCCGCTTGGGTAGAGGTGCCAAGAAAGTGGGTCTCAAAGACCGAGGATTTTGACAGGTATGATGGAGGGGACAAAATACATGGGTTAGGATGTTTCCAATAATGTGGTGCAAATGCCACCATCTATGCTTCATGAGGAAGGAAGCAAGGATATGAAAGGAGACGTGGACAATGATAAATGGTAGGATTAAGGGACTGGAAGTCCAGATGAGGCTGAAGACGTGCTGGAGAGAAAGAACTGGGGTAAATGACCTCGAATGGGTGAAGATGATCTTGGAGATGGTGCGTTATTTTCTCTCCCAATTAAAAGTATTAACCAAATAAAACCTTATGATCAAGATGATGCTGCTTTTGGCTACATTAAAAAAAGCATTTTCTGATTACATCTCTGGGTTGGTCATGGTTTATTTCATCAGGAGAGTTTGAGTTAATATCACTTGAACTTTACAACTAATATAACATGACTGCTCTATATCACAATATAGGGAAATCTGTACAGCATATAGAGGAAATCTACAAAGTGATCTGACATCAGCATTGAGTGGTACATCTGGTCTTAACTTTTCATGTAAATTTATGTTACCAATATTAAAATTAAAAAATGCTCATTCTGTAATTTAGTGGAAGTTTTTACAATGGATTCTATTATCATCAACAACTTTAAAGAGTAATAGGAATTCTCTGGGAGTATATACAAAAAAAAGATTAATTCAAAGGGAAATATTTTGCCATTAAGGGATTTAGAAATAAACATAAAAAACATTCATGGGACCTTCTTGGGTAGTTCAGATTCCTCACTTCCACTCTAGGGGGGAAGGGTTGATCCCTGATTGGTGAACTGGGACCCCATATGCAGGACAGTGCAGCCAAAAAAACCCAAAACACATTCATTATAAAATTTTTATTCCATTGCATTGTCATTTAAAATTATAAGAATGTAAGGAAATATCACCCAGTGTCAGAAAATCTGCAGTGTTTAGTGACAAATCAATAGTTTCATAGACATTTTCAATTCATTTTAAAAATCATGCCATTTATGTAATAATTAAGATAAACTATCTCTCTATATAGTAAACCTCCACTTGACTTATACAAGTTCATTTTCTCCAGCGGGAAGCTGCGCAGGGTCCAGCCCTACTTGCTTCATTGATACGGCAATATCGAACAGATAGTCATAACACTCACACCTGTTAGAAAAAGAAAAAGCAAAAAGCATTAAAAGTGTTTAGTCAGAGTTCTCTACTTCTAATAACCGTATTTTTCCTCTGCATCAAGTGAACTCTGTCCCTGGTAATTCCCCCCCCCTCAGTTATATGCAAAGGGTTTCTTATTTTGTCTCTAACATTATTTAAAAAAGGAATCATACTGTATCATGCCACCATACTATATACTTCTCAGGAAATAAAAGAGTTTAAAATATACTACTTATCTAAATTTAAATTTTTTATTATGTGCCGTTTTGGTAAATAAATGTAGCAAATCATTCTAGCCCTCAACTGAGAGAACAAGAGCAGTTGCTCCTTCTTTATATCAAAGAGCACAGTGCCTTGCCAAATAACAGCTGATCTGAAAATTATTTAACAAAATAATATATAATACAAATAAAATATCTAGAAATAATAATGATAAACTATCAAATTGGTTTAAATTCAGATTAAACCAATTTGACCAGTGACACCAAAGAAACCATACTTCTTTAAAGTGTGGTGTCTGGCCCTGATATTCTCTGGTTTACACTTACATGGTTTTAGCCTTCTCCCACGTCTCTCCCCAGACGTAGACTCCATGCCGTCTGACTAGCACTGCGCAGGAGTCTGGGTAATCATTCATTGCCACAGCCATGCGCTCTTTGAGGTCTTTCTCCTCAGGTGTATTCTCAATAATAGGTACTACTAACATATCATCATATCTGTAAGACAAAACATGCCGTTTGTTCTCCTTTTTAAAATATGTATGGATGTGAGAGTTGGACTATAAAGAAAGCTGAGCACCAAAGAATTGATGGTTTTGAACTGTGGTGTTGGAGGAGACTCTTGGAGAGAAACTTGGACTGCAAGGAGATCCAACCAGTTCATCCTGAAGGAGATTAATCCTGGGTGTTCATTGGAAGGACTGGTGTTGAAGCTGAAACTCCAATACTCTGGCCACCTGATGCGAAGAGCTGACTCATTGGAAAAGACCCTGATGCTGGGAAAGGTTGAGGGCAGGAAGAGAAGGGGACGACAGAGGATGAGATGGTTGGATGGCATCACCGATTCAATGGACATGGGTTTGGGTAAACTCCAGGAGCTGGTGATGGACAGGGAGGCCTGGTGTGCTGCAGTTCATGGGGTCGCAAAGAATCGGACATGACTGAGCAACTGAACTGAACTGAACTGATTCATATATAAAACTCATAATTTTTTCAAATAATAAGTTAGACATTCTCTTTATATCAGACAAGCCACTCCAAATTATGAACAAGATGTTGCATGTTAGTCTGTGTATCCTGCATGAACAACTATATCAAAAGACGCCTTGGGAATCTGGCAGGCATTGTTCTAATCCTAAGTAGAAGTGGCAGAAATTTGTACAGGATACCAAAACCTAACAAAGAAATTATCAAGATCATACAAGTATTTCCGTGAAGCATAGAGAATCATAATGTTTTGAACATAGGGAGGATTAACAATTGAACTGCTTAAAGCAGGAATTTCCCAACAGTACGAAATCATTTTATTCTACCTCTGCAGGACCCCCAAAGTGTCTTGGATAGGCAAATAAATAAATACATGTGTGGTTATATTCCTGGGATAGCAAAAACCTTTGGAGAGAACCATTAAGGGTATGATAACATTTTTATGATGTTCTCAAATCTGTGATGTTAGAACTTATTTTTACCTTATTTTTAGTAAGTACATGTGATGAAATAAAAATATGCATTTTTTGTTTTTTGTTTCTGTAATAACACTTAAGCAAATAATTTGTCACTGGTAAAGTTACAACTATTTCTGAGGTCATTTACAACCAATCAAAACTCAGACATATTCCCCTTTAAACATGAACTTCTCTTGCCTTGTTAATGTATCATCTGCTTTTTCACCCCCTCTGTAATGGCTAAATTTAACCAAAATAAGTTCTATCAATAAACTATCAGAAATTACTACTTTAGGGAAGGTACAGAATAAATAGCAGTCATGTAATAAAGAACTTGGCCAATCATTATCATTAACAGAATGAGGTCGCCCATTATTTCACTTAAGTAAAACAGAGGTAATTATAAAATATCCTTAAATGTGGAAGGAAAAATTGGTAGTCCCAAGTCTTTCCTAGTATTGGCCATGAAAATCACAAACTTATATTTTCCTCTCCCATACACCCAACAGTCAGAAATAGCTCCAGGTGCAAAATAATTCCACACTAAAAGAAGACGTGAAAGCTAATCCAGTCCGATCTACTCCTTTTACAGGAGCAGAACCAGGGGGAGTCCTCCAACCAAAGAGCGTTCTTTTCACCCTTCCATAGGCATTTGCCTTCAAAAGGGAGGACAGTTACATTTAACATGGTTACCTCCCCAATAAGATTAGACATTTGAAAGTTATCATTATTTTTAAGATGCACTTAAAATTTTTTAAAAGTAGAGTAGAAAATGAAGAAACTCCCTCCTTTTTCCTACTTCATCCAGCTTTTTTTGCCCCTTCTTTTGACCGGATACTTAGGATTCTACCCAAAACCCGATGAAGTACCACTGCCCAGGAACTGTGATAATGACTGTTACTGATTTCCCAGCCAGGCTCAAACAGAATTGCAAAAACATCCCAAAAAACTTTGTACTCTTTAAGTTCTGAAACAGTCAACATAATATATAAAAAGTATATACACTGTGATGCAAAACAAACTGCATCTTTGCATTCGCGTCATTCTTTTTTCCACAAATTCCAAAGGCTCTCTGCTGTGCTCGCTCCTCTACCCACCGTTTCACATGTTCTTCTGACCTATTTTTATTTCTTCACTGAAGCAATCAAATGCCGATGAAATTGCTAACACACAAATGCCTCTCCTTCAAGACCCAGATGTGGAAAAGGCAGTATGCGGCTATGCTTTTAGTATGTACACTTTCATAATTTAAATATTTAACTTCTGTAAGTAGGTGTTTCCCAGTGCTGAGGAATGCTTTAGGCACACAATAAATATTAACTAAAATCAAGTCAAATGAACTTCTCAGCACACTAGTTTAAACACGTACTGTCTATTACGTGCAGTAACAGTAACACACTGCCGTAAGAACACTTGAGTGAAACTGGCACCCTTTTCCTCTCAACAAGAAAATGTGGATTCAGCCCCTTTAGGAAATTAAGAAAGGTGAAGGTCCAGGAACAAGAATGCCCAAACATTTAGATGAAATGCTGAGCCTGTCCCTGAGTCCCAGGAACATGTTTCTTCACGTCACTATATTCTAGATTGATGAATAATGGCTACATTTTTGTGGGCTGGTAGATTTAGCTAATTTTGTCTGAAGGGCCTCTGTTCTATATTATCTATGCCCCTTTCCACACTGAAAATTATAAGCATATAGAGATCTAAATTAAAATAATTATAAAAATTTTTTCAAATGAAAATTTTTACAGAAATACTACATGAAATCCAAACGAAGGATAAACTCGAGTCAGAGCTGAAACTTCCTGAAGACAAAGTAAAGCTGAGGAGCGCTTATTCTCGGGTTGTTTCAATAGAGGAACACAGTCTTTCCATCTCTACAGAAATCTGAGCCCAGCCCTTTTCTTTTTACTCCAACAAACATTTCGTTATTCATGTTGGCAATTATTTACCAAGGCTGGGTTGGGAATGGGGAGAAGGAAGGGAGGCATCTGATTTGTGTCACTGAGAATAGATCTGGAAGTATAATATTAAGTGGGGTATTAACTAACACAGATCCATAATATCGCATTAAATACATATAAACATCAGGATCCCATTTATCAGAAGAACGAGAAATACTGTTGAAATTATTTAAGCAAAAAAAAGGGGGGGTGTGGAAATACCTGTAATACCCTCCCGAGGTACATTTCTTTATTCCTTTGATCATCTCTTGATGTGTAATTTTAAACTCCTTTCCTGGGAAGACAAGGGTGGCCATGACCGCAGCTTTAGAGTGGGTATGGATCACAGCACCTGCTCCTGGGGTGGGGGTGGGGGGAAGAATATAGTCACATGCTCAGTGAAAAGTAAATTACCCTTTTTAAAGAGTTTATATATATATACACACACACATATTTATATATGGTTATGGACTTGTTTTTTTTCGGCCTGGAATAATAAGTTGGCAGTGGGTAGGAGAGGAGGAAGGGAGGTAGGAAAGAGAAATACTAATAGAAGAGTCAGAAAGCGAAAAGAAGAAACATTAAACTGTATCCAGCAAGTGGACAACGCGCGCAATACTTTATACATGCTCAAAAACATTTTTTAGATGGTCTGAAGTACAGCTATTATAATAATGGAGATCATTATCATAATGCTATGACCACTCAATTAGGGATTCCTATGTCTCCTTTAAAGATGTTTTCTCTTTGTATCATCACAACAACCGCCTCTCCCATTTAACGGTCAAGACTTTGAGGCTCAGAGATTGCTAAATAACTTGTCCATGGTTATTTAAATACACTGTCCAACTTTAGACAGTAGTTGAAAACTTGGATTTGAACCCAGGTCAGTCTGACCCTTGATCAAGATAGGCTTTATAGTGTAGGCCACATCTTGGTGATATAAGGGATGATTGGGATTTTAAGATGTAGATGCAATGGGTTTACCTAAAAAAGAATTTGTATGCTATAAAACTCAGTAATGTCTATTTTTGCAACTGGAAGTTTATTTAGCTTTTTTGCTAGGAAAGATTCTTCAGGCTGGCAGAATGTGCTGCTGAAGTTTCATCCTGTCAATAGTAGCTGGTAATGTCTGGGAACAGACCATAGCATGATTATTCACTGTACACTGATTTCATCCAGGGGCTATACTAAAGCATGGTCTTTATGACTTCATTGTACTAAGTACTTAGTACTGACTAAGTCAGTACTTCAGTTATACTTTCTTACTTTTATATTGTCCTTTAGGTTCAACCTTTCTAGGTTAGTTTTCTACCACAATTTCTGGGAATTACTAATAAAATGAGTCATACTTTTGTCATACAGTAAATTTTTCAAAAAAGAGCGAACCACTCCCACTGAAGTGAAGAAAAGACCATGATTTTCCCTCCTTTGTAGTTTGATTAATTTCTACCACAAGTTCGCAGAGGTATAACTCTAAACTAAGAGTAGGAATTGGATTGTATATATATATATAGTTAGTTGGTTAATTTGACAATCTAGTGGAGTCATACTCATCTAGATTGGAATTCTGGCCCCAATACTCACTAGTTGTTTCTTTTGGGAAAATCTTCCCAGGGCCTCTGTCCTCTCATGTATAAAATGAAGTACTAATGGACCTTCCACAGAGGCTGATGTGAGGACTGAATCAATTAACACGTTTAGAATTCTTGCACATAGCAGGTATTTAAGAAATTTGAATTACAACAATAATTGCCATTATTTAGGGGGCAGTTCTATTGTTTGTCACTAAGACATGTCTGACTCTTTTACAGTCCCATGGATTACAGCCTGCCAGGATTATAGTCCATGGGAGTTTCCAGGGAAGAATACTGGAGTGGGTTGCCATTTCCCTCTCCAGGGATCTTTCCTACCCATGTATCTCCTGCATAAGCAGGAGGATTCTTTATCACTGAGCCAAACAGGGAAGCCCATTTAGGGGAGCCTACTCTGCAAATACTCTTTATGTGGAGTACATTCTCTACCAACCTCTCATTGTGTAAGCATTCATGAAAAGAGGAGTACACTGGCTTTTTTTAAGATGCTTAGATGGCGGAGGTCCACTTATATCCTTTTCATTGATGTCGCAAACAAACATGTCTTCAGGCTATTTAGAGAAGGAAAAAGAAAAGAGGAAACTTCATAAAATATCAATGAGAAATATCTTCTTTCTTGTTTGTCAATAGTGTATATATACAGTGTTGATGTATGTGTAACTCATTTTAAATATTTATATAATTAATTTCTCCCTCAAAAATATGTAGCCATTTTGAGAAATAAAAAAATGTTTTCTACTAGCCAAAATAATCTCAAAAGAGTTAAAAAAAAACTCACCTTTAGAATTTGAAGAAAAAAATTGATATGGAAAATTTAATATGCAAGTATGATGTTATCATTTCATTGATTTAATTTCTCAGTTTTGCCATGTAATTTCACAACTATATTTCAGAGAGACTTATATAATCACTATTTTAGGATGGGTATTATATACTTTTTTCATATTTCATAATATAAGAGGAAAAATAGAGAATACAATTTTCTTATTCCTTGAGAATCTTACCTGGTACTCAGAAATGCTCATCTCTATGAGGTACATTATTTTTTAAGTTCTAAGGAATTATGTAGATCCACAGGTTTTTCCTAGTAATACATGCATTATTTCTGACTTGTAACTTTCATTTGCTAGGGTGTATTATAAACTACAATATAAATTATTTATTAATGAAGCATTATGCCTTAGAGAGAATTAAGTATTTGTACTTGTTTTAACTCTATTCTGGGCATTACTCTAGCGTTAATACAGAAGGGGTCCTCTCAAAATTTTGAAACAAAGTTTTATAACTTTGGAAGAGCTTTGCCATTATTAAATATGAGTCAATTTGGTCCATTTAGTCCAATCTGATTAACCTATTAGCCTGATAAAGATGGTGTTACAATGCTGCAGTTACAATCATTTTTTATTATGATTTAAGACTACACTATTCACTTTTGCCCTCTAGAGGCTGAAAGAAAATTTAGAACACCTGGTGACATGCAGGATCATTACCACCTCAAAAAAATTTAGTAGTTACTTAACAAATGTTTGTTGATTAGTTATTTAAATATCACAATATAATTTCCCTTCAAAACTAACATTTCTTTTAATATTAATTCCATTTCATAAAACAACAATCAGGTAGAGAAGAGCAGACATTTAGGTTTAAGAAAGATCCCTGTACCATACCTGAATCCGTTCCTTTTGCACTCCTGAAGGAGCAATGTAGATTTCATTGCTGGTGGTACAAAATATAGAAATTGGTATTTATTTAACTCTATTGTTTTGCTTTTGCAAAAAGAAAAGTGTATCCTTGCAGTCCAATCGTTAATCATCTTTATAAATTAACTCATACAAATAGCAGCTTTATTCAATTAATGGAATAGGCTGTATAGAAAGAATAGCAAGCTACTTTAATGTCTTTATAACGCTGGTGACACAGTAAAATGTTGATAGTTGCTTCTGTCTTCTACATTTTCATGTAAAGTTCTTTATTTCTTTTTATGGTACAAATTAATGGTAACCAGGCTTTCATCTAGTTAGGATAAATACAAATCTGAAAACACAAGTCTTCAGCATCTTTAAACATCAATAAGCAGAGTTGATCTTGCTAGACATGGAACACAGTAATTCTAAAATCCAATCAGAGGAAAATATGCTCACTCAAAGTCTTGCAAGGAATCAGGTTTAATTTTGTTGTTTGAAATGCTCTTACTACAAAACATGAAGTTCAGAGACCTCTGCTGGATGGCTGGTTAAATTACAGCTTTAACCCTGGGCTACTTTTTTGGGTGGAACAGTATGCTTCCTAGTTGAAAAACACTTCTATCTTATGAAAATACATGGTAACAAAGCTAAAACAACTGCAGAAAGTTAAAAATGTAAAAGGCATGGTTACATCTGGAGATCTCTGTTATATAGCACTTGTGCTAAGGGAGGATGCATTACCACAATTTGCTTTCAAATTTGATTTGGAAATTAATTTCAAAATCTTCTCTGAATTCTCTCCACCCTCAACAAAGATCCTCTGGCTCATGCATCAGTTTCAGTTGCTGCTACAGGGTGTTAATAAGGCAAACGAAGGAAATATCAGCACCTGCATGCTCCGGCTTCTGCCACCGAGGCATGGACTAGGGACACTAAATCAACATTAACTGTTTCTGAAGGAGACTCCTAGGGCTTCCCAGGTGGCATTAGTGGTAAAGAACCCACCTGCCAATGCAGGAGATGTATGAGACACGGGTTCAATCTCTGGGTAGGGAAGATCCCCTGGAGGAAGGCATGGCAACCCACTCCAGTATTCTTACCTAGAGAATCCCATGGATAGAGGAGCCTGGTGGGCTACAGCCCACAGGGTTGCAAAGGATCGGACAGGACTGAAGCAACTTGGCATGAACACACACAAGAGACTCACAGGCTTAGAGAACGAACTTACAGTTGCCGGGGGGAAGGGTGGGGGAAGGGACAGTTAGGAGTTTGGACATGCACATACTACTGTATTTGAAATGGATATAACCAACAAGAACCTACTGTATAGCACATGGAGCTCTGCTCAGTGCTATGTGGCAGCCTGGATGGGAGGGGAGTTTGAAGGAGACTGGATATGTGTGTATGTATGGATGAGTCTATCTGCTGTCCACCTGAAACTATTACAACATTGTTAACTGGCTATACTCCAATATAAAATAAAGAGTTAGAAAAATATCAACTGTTTCCCATAGAAAATGAGCATGACTCACTATATTGCATCAAGCTGCCGAAGTTGGGGTTACAAATAAACCTATAGACTTGGAACTGACAAAATGTATGGAAGTTCCTTTAAGGTCTACTCATAAATAAGGTCTAGAAAATAAATGCCGGATAAGAAAGTGAAAGTGTTAGTCGCTCAGTCGTGTCCGACTCTTCGTGATCCCACGAAACTGTAGTCCACCAGGCTCCTTTGTCCATGTAATTTTCCAGACAAGAATATTGGAGTGGTTAGCCATTCCCTTCTCCAGGGGAATCTTCTCGACCCAGGGATCAAAACCAGGTCTTCAGCATTGCAGGCTAACTCTTTACCATCTGAGTCACCAGGGAAGCCCAAAATGTCTGATAAAGAGAGTGAAATCCAAACCACAGTAAGCTTTGCTCAAGCATTCATTTTCACAAAGTAGTTACTGCTTTATAATTTTGTTGCCTAAGAAAATCATAGAGTGGCATTCCTCTAGAACCAGTGGCAATGCATAGGGATCATACTGTTAAAAATGACCCCTTATAAATACCAGAGATCTAAATCTTCTGTCCTCATGTAACATGAAGAACATGAAAGAGACTCTAGAATCATGTGTGGTACATAGTCCAATCACCTCTGCTGGTGGACTTGTAGGTCTTCTCATATAGGAAAGTATTTATGCAGCCCCGGGAAGAGACCCAGATAAAGTTCACAACAGACTGCTGTCAATAAGCCCTCAGAAGTGAAAGCATGGAATCCTAACCACTAGACCACCAGGGAATTCCCTGGTATGCTAAATCTGTTTTTATTACTACCTTTGTAAAAGAGACATCAGTTTAGAGTTTGGTCAATTTTGATTAAAAGATTAGCTAAGTAGATTTTAGAAAAAAATATATTTACACCTACAAGGAAGGAGATATCCGGATTAAAATACAAAGATGATAGAGCTTTTATTTTGGGAAGGACACATGCTAAAGACTAAAAGTAAAGTATTTCTTGGGACTATAAGCCACAAACGGAAAGCATGTTGAGTTTCAAGGTATCACGTTTGGGAATTTATTTTCTCCACACTCCCTGCTCTTTCACTATGTGGTGAGTAGGGGGACAAAATGCAAGAGTTTATAATACATGTACGTGTACTGCTTCTACTCTTATTTACTTAAAAAAAATCCTTTAAATCTTATTATGCTGCAATTATCTTGTCTACAATATGGGTTTATTAATTTTAATTCTAGTAGGATACAACAGGATTAATGTTTCTGACACATAAAAACATTATGCTGTGAAAACAGGAAATGTGAAATGTGAAAGGTAGGAGCCCAACCTAACCACAGTGGCTGCTAAGTATCCTGGAATAGCCTTGACTATTGTTATTTTCTTGGTCCTCCATTTCTTCTGATTTAACACTCATCTCTGTCTTAAGCTGTCTTTTCTTGTGTGGCACCACACATCAGGAGCATATAAACTGGACTGATAGCAGCCAAACGTTGGAAATGTAAGTAATTTAATTTTCTCCGAAGGGCTTATTGCCACACTTACTATGGAAACATAATCTATTGAGTTTGTGCTTCATTCCAAATATATCTGCTCTGAAGCATCAGAAAAAAACTTTCACTAATGTGAGAACATTAATATCATTGATAAAATTATTGATATGGGTCTACAAAGTCATTTAAATATTAGGGATAAAATTCAACATTTTACTACAAATTACCCATTTTACTCTATAAAGCATAAATTTAGTAAGATCCTAAATGCAGTGACATACCATCGTGGCTGTTTTCACCTGTGACCTCCAGGCGGCACTCCTCACCAATTAAGAATCTAATAACAAGCATTTTACAAATACAATGCAACTTCCCTACAAATTGACTGTAATGCTACAGAGTCAATTCATTTTAAAATGCACCCCCTCAGTGCTTTAGCATAACCACAATTTTAGTGACTGGTTCTACATTTTAAATACATAGTCTTTTATATCTTTATGATAAAAAAAAATTTCCTCTTGAGATCTGCAATGGCCCCTTGCTACATTCTATTTTTAATTTTGCTATTTTTTTTTAAGAGTCAATTGGAAAAAGTTATTTTAATTCGGTTTGGTAGGAATCTTTGTTTCCTACACATGTACGTGTGTGTGCATGTGTTTAGTTGTGTCTGACTCTTTGTGACCCCATGAACTGTAGCCCACCAGGCTCCTCTGTCCATGGAATTTTCCAGGCAAGAATACTGGAGTGTGTTACCATTTCCTATTAGTGGGGATCTTCCTGACCCAGGGATCTAACCCGTATCTACTGTGTCTCCTGAATTGGCAGGTGGATTTTTTTTTTACCACTGCACTGCCTGTGTATGTGTGTGCACGCTCAGTCACGTCCAACTCTTTGTGGGCCCACGGACTGTAGCCTGCCAGGCTCCTCTGTCCATGGAATTTGTGGACTGCAGTCTGCTAGGCTCTTCTGTCTATGGAATTTTCAGGAAAGAAATACTGGAGTGGGTTGTCATTTCCTACTCCAGGGGATCCTCTGGACCCAGGGATCGAACCTGAGTCTCATGCATTGGCAAGCAGATTCTTCACCACTGTGCTATCTGGGAAACCCTTATTTGTACATGTACAAACTAGCATTTTTGTCAATGCAATTAAAAAGAAGGTTACTAAAAGCAAGGTTTAGAATATGATTTATTATAAATAATACAGCTCAAAACAAAATTACTAGTACTCAACTCCTAAATGAAAAAAATGAAACAACTATAGTAACAATAATAACAATATAGGACTTTGTTGTGAACAGGTCAACTTGAAAGTTTTGGCAAAATACCCTGAAAACCTGTGAAATACTGATTGACACATTAGCACTGGGTTGATGGTAAGCGGACCCATGTAATGGAGGTACCACGTACTACGTGGAACAGGACCTTTGCAGACCAAGAGCCTCCCTACACATGAAGTCTGACAGCTGTTGAGTAAGGCCTCTCCTGCCGTTTCCTACAGTTTTAATTATATTTCTTGAGTTTCTTGGTAATTTGAAGCACAAGAAGTTTCAGTGGCATCATCTTGTGGTATGCCACAAAGTCCCTTTTGTCCAAAATGTTCTGATTATGGAAACTCCCCTGGTGGTTCAGTGATTAAGAAGCCATGCTTCCAATGCAAGGGGCGAGAGTTCAATTCCTCGTTGGGGAACTAAGATACTGCACGTTGCGAGGCAAAAAAAAAAAAATCTTTACTGATTACATTTTACATTCCATTTTTTCTAAACAATGCAGCCTCCTTGGAGGTGTTACTCTATATATTCAATATCACATAAATATTGTAATAGTCCAATTTTGTTAAAGAAAGTGAATTAGGATAAAGAAATAAATCAAGTTACTCAATTTAATATTCAGCCTCCAGACAATTAGTATTCCTAAAACATTTCAAGAGGAAAAACATTAATCCTGTTCCAGAAACACTTAAGGGAATGAGATTCTACAACCTTTGTTTTCATTGTAAGTAGGTTATTTTTTCATCCTCTTAAAGGAATGACACTGAATAAATCTAATGAACAATTAAATACTATTTATTCCTTCTACTTCAAGTTAAATACCTTTTGTTTTGTCCTGTGAGTAACATGAACCTGCAGGTATTAAGTCCATTAATAACGATACCTGTAGTTAGAAAGGCATATTGCCTTTTTTTACTCAAAATGTAACTTTTAGGATTTTTGGATGGTTACAATCTGTATCTAAGTGACTCTGAAATATGTATCTGAACCTTTGAAACAAATCCTGTCTACCCAGAGGGGATCCTTTATAGTTCCAGACATGAACATATCCAGCAGCATGTTAGTTAACTTTGGTACTCCAAAGACTGAGGACCAAATTATTTGGATTACAAATTGTGATTCTTAAGTCCACAGGTATTTACTAGATATGCAACACCTAGAGCACACTTACTCCATTTGGTAATGCAAATACCTATTTCTCTATTTAGAAACTAAATACCTTGAGTGCCATAAGAAACTGATCATCAGCTGTTCTTTGACATAATACACGTTAGGCTCTTGGTGGTCTACTTATATGGAGAATCAGCTGGGAACTTACCCATGCTTCAAGCTAATTCCTCCTCCGGTCCCAGTGACCCAACCCAAATGGTAGAACTGCTTGCAAAGCTCTGGGATCAGGTATCTTGGATGTTCCTTGTCCTTAAAAAGAAGATAATGATTTCTAAATAGATATTATTTTATCAAGTAACTATTACAATAAGTTACTTGATATCTTACTATAACATATATAACATATAATTACATACTTCCTATAATATATACTATATAGTATATACTTACGATAATATATAGTAGATATCTCTAGTAAAAAACCAATTTAAGGAAGTTTAAGAAAATCTACCATAGAGAGGGTACCATGAGAGAGAAAATTATTACAAAATATACTTTGTTTTTAATATTTGGAAAGTGGATCTACCATATTGTTTGGCAACCTATAATCATTCAGTTAAGGGCCACACAGTCCAGTACTAAGGAACAAGTTATAACAATGAGGTGGGGAAATGCCAGATTATATTACAAAGGGTCTTACTGGAATGGTTGAAATAAAATAGAATCTAGTGCTGAAAGAGGCACACTTCAGTCTACCCAGAAGATTTCTTTAAACAAAACATCTTCTTCCAAATACCTCATTAAGGCATGATGTACATGATATGTACTATGATAGTTATTTGTTCATCTTCTCTGTGTTGGTTCAATTTTATTTATTTTTCTAAAAAAATGTCCTTTTCCCATAGTAATTATACTGTTTTCTATTATTACAAAATCAATGTATACTCATTATGGAATATAAGTCAAGAAGATGACAAGTTGCAAAAGTGCTGAAAGAGGCACACTTCAGTCTACCCAGAAGATTTCTTTAAACAAAACATCTTCTTCCAAACACCTCATTAAGGCATGATGTACATGATATGTACTATGATAGTTATTTGTTCATCTTCTCTGTGTTGGTTCAATTTTATTTATTTTTCTTAAAAAATGTCCTTTTCCCATAGTAATTATACTGTTGTCTATTATTACAAAATCAATGTATCCTCATTACGGAATATAAGTCAAGAAAATGACATAAAAAGCACTCAGAAGCAATCATAATTAATATTTTCTAGGCCCCATTCTATGAAGATATATGTTGGGATAACATCTTACTGTTTAAGATGTTATATAAGTAATATATGAGATGTAATTGACATATAACATTATGTTTCAGATGTACAACATGATGATTCCACATTTATATAGATGGTGAAATAATCAGTACAATAAATCTAACTGAAATAAAAGCCCCACTTTTATATATGTCTGGTGATTATTTGTTTAGAAACAGAAAATAAAGCATTTCTTCCTCTTTGGTAAAGCTAAAATGAATGAAAACAAAAACAATAATAAAGAAATACCATGAATTCTGTTTTGGAAGTAATGATTTACAACCCTTACCTTGAAAACAACTAAAACAGCTGAATAAATTATTTTGAATAATATTTCAAAATATACTGCTTAGCTGGCTGGAAAATAAAGTTTCACAAGGCCATTAAAGAAATGAGTGAGTCTACCTGGGAGGGAAGTAGACTCTTAAACTTCCTTGAAGGCATTTGCAAAACTCTGGTGACCTAGTGCTTCAATTTTGATAGCTACGAAAGTCACTAGAAGCACAAGATAAAACCTAAGGTGTGCTCCAAGTGGGGCATTCAATAGAAAATTCCTACATACACATGGGACCCCAAGGGACTATACTCTCCAGATTAAAGTGAACAAGAAATAGATGCACTGTGCAACAAATTACAGTCAGAAAACCTGCCTATAGACATCTCAGCACTGGGTAAAGGGGAAAAAATATCTGAGTCCAAAGAGGGGTTATTATTGAACCGACAACAGTTTCAGCTTCTTATATGAGTATCCGAAATTATGGTATTTTCCCATTTTCACTGTTAATATTATACATATATATTTTAGATAAGTATTGCTAATGATAATTTGATGGAGCAGACTTAAGAATATAAAATCAAGGATATGGGAAAGTTGATATTTTTTAAAGTTCTGATTCAGCACAGGCTTCGGGGTTAATCGCTTACAGGACCTCGGGCCTCGGTTTTGTCGCTGTTGTTGTTTAGTTGCTCAGTCGTGTCTGGCTCTTCTGTGACCCCCTGCACTGTAGCCTGCTAGGCTCCCCTGTCCATGGGATTCTCCAGGCAAGAATACTGGAGTAGGTTGCCATTTCCTTCTCCAGGGGATCGTCCCTACCGAGATCGAAACAGCGTCTTCTGCACTGGCAGATGGATTCTTTACCACTGAGCCACCAGGGAAGCCCAGGCCTCAGTTTACTCATCCACTAAATGAGAACGTGTTGAGGATTAAAATGACATATAATGGATATATCCAATCCCAAAGAAAGACAATGCCAAAGAATGTGCAAACCACCACACAACTGCACTCATCTCACATGCTAGCAAATGCTCAAAATTCTCCAAACCAGGTTTCAACAGTATGTGAACCGTGAATTTCCAGATGTTCCAGCTGAATTTAGAAAAGGCAGAGGAACCAGTGATCAAATTGCCAACATCCGTTGGATCATCAAAAAAGCAAGAGAGTTCCAGAAAAACATCTATTTCTGCTTTATTGACTATGCCAAAGCCTTTGACTGTGTGGATCACAATAAACTGTGGAAAATTCTGAAAGAGATGGGAATACCAGACCACCTGACCT